AGAAATCTTTATAGACTTAATTACTAGGCTACTAGTAGCTAAAGTAAGCATAGGCAGCAAAGTAGATATAATTCTAGTAATTGTTAAATACTTTATAAAGATAAACCTCTTCTTTGCTATATAGACTATTTTAACGGCTAAAGGCTTTACGCACCTTATGCACTAATATATAGAACTAGTATATAGCGTAATACTAAAGAGTATAGTCTTTAACTAAGGAAGTATATTTACTAGCAAATTCTAGAGTAAATATTACTATTAAACTAGAATTTATAAGCAGCTATTAACTATATTTTACTCTTAGATAAACAAGCAAATAAAAAGATCTAACAAAACATTAAAGTAGTACTTACGCTACTTTATAATAAAGAAGCAATTAAATTAGCCCTCTTTATTATCTTTAGCGTAATACGCCTATAATAACGCTATTAACGTAATAACTAAAATTAGCCTATTTAAAGCGTTATATAGTTAGAAACTAGACTTGTAAACTTACCCTAAGGGCGGCATAACTATAAGAGGAGAGTAAAACACGCGTAATATAGTCCTAGCGGTATACAACCGCTTAAAAAAACTAAAAGCTATATAAAAAAGGTTAGTAGTAAACTAAGAGCATATAATAAAGCGTTAAAAGCGTTACTATAATACGCGCTACTAGCCTATAAGCTTTATAGTAAGAGAGCTAGTAAGCCTTTTTATAAAAAACCTTTGCTTAAAAAATAAAAAGTTAACACTAAGATATATTAAGCCCTTTAAAATCCTTAGAACTATAAGTAAACAAGTATATTAACTAGTACTACTAAAATAATATAGCTAACTATACAACGTTTTCTTAGTCTTACTATTAAAGCACTAAAAGAGTAAGGTAAGCATAGAATAAGCGTCTTTAATAATGCTAGTATTAAAAGACCTAGATAATAAATAAAAAGTAAAAGTAGTCTTAAATAAAAGACGTAAGGCAGGCTAGACTAAATACTTAGTATATTAAATAGGCTAGCTAACTAAATATAACTAGTAAGTGCTAAAAGAAGATATAGAAAATATATACGCAGCAATTAAGTAGTATGCGCGTAGTAAGCGTATAAAGATAAAAATATATAAGCAAAATCTTAAATTAATTTAATTAGCTAAAAGGCTTTATAAAAGACTATACAAAACTATTTAAAGAGCCTTTAAAGCAACGCTACGCTAGCTGCTACCCTAGCATAAGCCTTATTTATAATATATACCTTTACTAATACCTTAAAAAAAGCATTAAAGGCTATAGTAAAGGCAGCATAACTAGTATTACTAAGCATTAAGCATAGCAGCTAAAAGAGCTACTAAAGAGTTAAAGTAGTAGGCTTAGGCAATAAAGATAAAAAGAGTATATATAGCAATAGTAGGTGCATTTAAGCTAATAAAGCTTACTAAGCCTTTACTTAGCAAGCTACCTCTTAAGCCTTCTTCTAAGCCTTAATGCCTTAGTAAAGATTAAGCTTTCTTTATATAACGTTAGCAGCTAACAACACCCCTAGCAACGTAGGCCGCTGCTACTTATCCACTTATAATAAGGTAGTAACGAAAGCACCTATAGCACGCGTAAGTGCCGCACGCACTATAAGCAAACCCTAGCTATAAAGCTTCTTATTAAAGCCGTACGAGCACTATCTTAAAGTTAGCCTAGTTGCTAACCATTAGCAGGAAAACCTACATCCCATCAGCTACTAAAGCGGCCTATAGCCACTAAAAAGGACTTACCCTACAACACTCGTACTTGCTAGCATAGCAGCCGTCGCAGCGCCTAGCGCTAGCAACGCTATAAATATACAGCACAGCCGCAAACCTAGGCAACTCCGCAGGGAGAGTCGTTAGAAAGCAGTGCAGGCACCGCACGCATAACAAGCCGTCTAAGGCAACCTAAAGGTAAGCTAGTAGCGCAGCCGCCACCAACCCTAGAAGCGCCGGACTAGCAAGGGCAGCTCCCGTACCTTAATAGGCTACTAAAGGCCTAACTAAGGGCACGGCGCGCGCCGCAGTCCGCGCCAAACAACGAACTATGCTAGCGTAAGCCCTGCGCGCACGTTACACGCGGCCAGAACTAGCACCTTAGCTAGAGGGCAAAGGGTGTTAAGGAGTAGGGGCTAGGGCTGCAGCAGGTACTAGAGCGCTAAAGGCGCTTACCGCGGGCACAGGAACGTTAGAATTAGGAGCAGCCATGTTGCTGCTAGAAGACGAATTTGTTGTTTCTAAAAGAAGTAACCGGATGCTAGACCCTATAATAATCTAATTTAACTATAAGACTAAGCTTTTAAATAAAGGGAACTAAAGGCGCCTTAAGTTGCCTTTAACAGCGATCTTAGCAAGCATAAAGAGGCCGCCGCAAACGGACAAGCACTATGTAAGGGTATTCCACACACGCGTCCCTACGCACCGGTTCGGCAACCAGTCGCTTACCAAGCGGCGGACTTAACGAACTATCTTGACACGTTGCACGGGACTAGCACAGCCACTTAGCTGCGCCACGCCCTACTGGGTTTGCGCTACACCGCATCTTCCAGCCACGTATATATTAGCTGGCAGGCCTTTGCCTACTAATCTCCTATAGTTCGTTAAGTTGAAGTCTTAATACAACAGTACAAACCAGTTAAGCCTTCGTGACCACGCATTGCACACCAGCCCCTTACACACTACTACTACTAGGAACAAAGGTTGTAAGCCTTTTGTTAAGACTTGCCTTAGGGGAGTTAGGCACAGGAGGGGAGCAATTGTAACGCCGCCTTAAGAAGAGAACCAACGCAGGCTACGCGCAAGCCGTACGCAGTATGCGCATAGCGTATTAGATGCACATTGTAAACTAGAAGCGGTGCTAGTGGCGCAGGCTGCGTGGCGCAGTTTGCGCACAGGCCACAGCACGTGTTAGCGCACGGGCTAAGTAGAAACGGGGTCGCGCCTGTTCTGCGCACTTGGTGCGCTAGAGGTGCGCCTATAATAAAGAGCGCCTCCTGCACTCCCTTAGAGTGCAGAAGGCAAGAATTAGCTATTAAATATACGGCTGCTTCCTCCTATTAAGAAGATACCTCCTTGCCTGCCTAACTTACCTAGCCTACCTAAGTACACCTTTAACAGCTAGCTTATAGCCGAAAATATAGCTAGCTATACGCTTTATATTTTAAGTGTTATTTTAAACCTTAGGTTTAAAACAAGGCACTTTAAAAAAGACGGCTTACTAGCTTATTAGACCTATATTCTAGGCGATTCTACTAATATCCTTAAAGACAAATACTTTAAGTAAGTTTGCTTTACTTTATTTTACTTTACTTTACTTTACTTTATATAACTAACTATTTATTAAGGGTTAAAAATAATATTAATAGCCTTCTTATAAATATATCTTTTGACGAATTAAACAAAGACCTATATAACAATTTAAACAATAACTTAAATAACGATTTAAAGAATAATCTAGATTTAAAAAAGAATATATTTATATTAAAGACTAATATAAAAGAGGAATATATCTTATACCTTACAAAAGAAGAAGAAGGCTAAAAGGTAAGTTATAAACTATTAATATAAAGTATAAAATAATTAACTAAAGCTAACTTAATATTAGACTAATCCTTTAATATACTAGGCTAATAATGCTTTAAAATATCCTATTTTAAGCATATTAGCTAGGTAGTACTTAGCTATTCTAGCTATATTAGCTGCTATTAAAAGCTTTTTTTCTATTAGTAATAATATCATTACTAAACCTAGAAATAAGCTACTTTTAAAGACCGTTAAAAAGGTTCTTTTACTAAAGACTTAGAAGTTAGAAGATTAGAGACTTAAATAAGCTTAAGAAGGACTTAGGATTTAAAGAAGATTAAATATATTTTTAGTTATTTAGTTACTTAGTTACTTATTTAGTTACTTAGTTATTTATTTAGTTACTTATTTAATTACTTAGTTACTTAGCTACTTAGCTATTTAGTTAATTAAAGTTACTTATAGTTGTTTTATAAAAGTTTTCTTAAATGTAAATACTAATTGGTTGACTAATTAGTCGACTAATTAGTCTATTTAGTCATTAGTCTTAGTCCTAGTATTAGTTAAGGCTTTAACTAGACTAAAGTACTAATTTCACAACCCTAATCATAACTAAAAACTTAAAATAGCCTTGATAGGTACAGTGTCGTATTTCGTACTTCTTTGTGAAGAACACCTTTATACGTATTATATAGTGCCAACATCGGTGACGACCGGCGCTCTAATTATACCGAGATGTTCTATACGTAAAGGCGGATAGGCAAGTCTCAACAAGGACAACCTGTTTAGTTCTTGTCTCCGCGACATACATACGTTTGGGGGTAACATCTGCCAGTCTACCAAATCCGACGTCGCCAAACCATCGAAAAGGCATCTTCCTCCGCATCGTTACAAAGCAGCTCACTCAGTAAATCATAAGGACTGTTATACATGAATAGTGTCGAAATTGTTGCGTTCTCGGGGGTTGATTGTGCCGCAGCTAGTATGTGAAAAGGGGGCGTTTGCAGTGGTTCTGTGTTCTGGAGACGCTCCTGACAGATTGTTCCTGTAAACTGAGGCTAGAATATGTTAAGGAAATACCTTGTTTTCCGATTTCAGACGATAGTAGATTACCGTTATATCCATGTAGCTGACTTCCGAGGCCGTAGAGTTGCAGGCGGTGTTTGAAGATCAATAGGCGATCTACAACGTGCACAAACGGGAGGCACTCACGTCGACCCGTTATCCATCCTGTCAGAGTGCAACGTGGTAACCTGCGAACTGTCTTTTCCCCTCTCTCGTGTCTTAAGCGTATGCGTTAAGGTTAAGTGCAAAAACAATACCTACATAACAGCCGCTGCTACTAAGCTATTAGCTGAATCTTGACATAGTTCAAACTCTCGCGGCAGCCATTAAAATGAGGAGTAAATTGGCTAGATCTAAAACCCTAAATCTGTATACAAGAGAAATTTAACTATGTCTAGACAAGATGATCTCTTTCAGATTCCCTATGGAAGCAGTCTCTTAGGCGTGCGAGGATAATACGCCGCGAGGTGCACGCTTGGTAGTGCCAGAAACCAAGCAACCACACGATCGAGTCCAAAGCCTCCTCCTCCATGCGGTGGCACGCCGACCTGTCGAAACGTCGTTAAGTACTCCTTGATACCGGCACTTTCCGGGTTGACACCCTTGTCGCGGATACGCTCCTCAAGTTCAGCCGGGTCGTGAATTCGTTGACCGCCGGATAGCACCTCCTGACCACGGATGAACATATCGAAAGCATTTGTAACACGAACACCATCTCCTACCCGAGTACCAGCATCGTCGATTTTAGCATAAAAGGGCCGTGCCGTCTCGGGGAACTTGTCGATGACGTAAAAATCCGTCTTGTACTTGGTACGGACGACTTCGCCAAGGGCCTTCTCCTGGGGGGTGCTCATATCTTCATCGTCCCGCACGTTTGCAAACTCTGGAGGACCTTCGTCACGTAGAAGCTGTTGTGCTTCGGCAAAGGTTAACCGGACTTCTTTGCCGAGTTCGGGAAGGAGGAGCGGTTCTGAGTGGTAAACAGATCGAACCGTGTCAATCTCGACCGCGCAGCGCTCTGCAAAGGTGCCAATCCCGGTTAGCACATGTACACAAGAAGGCTTTACTGAACATTGTTCAAAACACTGAGTGGGTGAAAACTCACCTTGGAGTCCACGGAAGATGGACAACAGCACGCCCTCCAGTATGGAAATAACTTCGGTATAGGAATCCTTAATTTCCATCTCGACATCAAGTCCCGTAAACTCGGTCATGTGCCTTGGTGTGTTGGAATTTTCAGCTCTGAATACAGGGCCTATGCAGAACACCCGCTCTCTGCCACCCGCAATCTCAAATTGTTTGTAGAACTGGGGCGATTGGGCGAGAAAGGCCTCTTCGCCAAAATACGGGAGTCGAAAGACATTTGCACCGCCTTCGGACGCTGCACCGATGAGACAGGGTGGTTCGAACTCCTTGAAACGGCGGGCTTCGAGGTATGATCGAAAGAGCTTCTTCACCTCAATACGGATATCCTGCTTCGTGTTAATACGTGTCCAATAATATTTCATTGCTGAAATGGGCATACTGCAATGGCTTGCTGAACAGGAGCGCGCTTGTGCATGGCAATGTTGTCGAGGTGAGTGAGCATGCTAGCAGCTGGCGCCGAATTTTCGGCAGCAGCCTCGGACGCTTTTCCGTTATCGGTATCTCCCACTTGGGCACCCTCGTCGCTGAAGTTGACGATAGGCTGGTTTGCTATCCCCATGGTCATGCCAAGCATAGCCGGAGCCGACGCGAGAACAAAGCACTTTGTGATATGAAGCTCGAGTCCCGAGACTCGGCAGCTCTTAACAGGTTCAAGAGGTTGCTTCACTTTGGCTTCAACTGCTACGAAGCTCTCAGGATTGATGCTGGTCACCCATTTAACCATACGACGACTGATAACAGGCGCCTCCTCAGACGCCATAATGACTCCCTGAATATCCCAGTTGCCGCCCTTGCGGAGCTCAACAAAGCCGATCTTGGCGCTTTGTATGCGAGACTTTTGAAGCCATGCACGCACGATGACCGTCTTGCCAATGTAGGTGTCGTCGAGGGAACGTATTTCGACTTCTCCAGTATCCTGACTGAAAGCCGATATAGTAGTCTGCTTGTTCCCATAGTTGTCTTTAGCGGGATCGTCCTCAAGATTGGTGGCAGCGAGGGCCGCGGCCGCGGCGGCCGCGAGTTCTGCAGCACGCTGGGCTTTTAAAGCCTCCTTCTTCGCCTTGGCCTCCGCCTTCTTCGCGCCCTTTTTCGATGACGGGGCACTCGACTCTTCCATGATTCCGATATTTGTCGTGGTGTTTGAAAGCAATGTACAAGATGTTAAAAAGTTAAAGCGTAATGGTGGGGGCAATGAGGGGCAGGGTGGAAATATTTTACTTCATTCTACCACTCGGTTTCCACGTGACGAGCCAAAAAATGCCATATTTCCGTGAGCATATTTTTTAACACCGGTCGCGAGCAGACCACATCCGCCCTACATGGCGTGGATACTGTGGCTTCTACGGGGTACGGAGTACAGAGTACAGAGTACTCCGTACCACCCGTGCGACGCCCCACTTAAAGGGATACACGAAAACGCGCACCACCTAAGATTGTCAAATTATGGGTGCCCTGTAAGCGCGAATGTATTGTTCTGGTTAGGTACTTCCGAGTATGCCGACGTGCGTCAAAACACGTACTAAATAGGAACTAATTAGGCTTAGACAGGCCCTCCATAATAAGAGCGCTTTAACGCACTACCCTCTTTACTAAAGTATAAAGTCGCTTAAATAAAAAAGGCAGCATTAAATCTAGATGCTTACCGCTAGTCTTTTAAAGCTAGTTATAAGGATCTGCTAGTATAGCAGCTAACAAAACTAACTATAACTTGTTTTAGCCTTATTTAGTATAAAGTATATTAGATTAACGCTAGTTAGCAGATCTTTATTAAGATTTTAATTCCAAGGGCCCGTGTAAAGGTATTCTACACACGCGTCCCTACGCACCAGTTCGGCAACCAGTCGCTTACTAAGCGACAGACTTAACAAACTATCTTAACACGTTGCACAAGACTAGCACAGCTACTTAGCTATGCCACGCCCTACTAGGGTTGCGACACCGCATCTTCTAGCCACGTATAAATTAGCTAGCAGGCCTTCGCCTACTAGTCTCCTATAGTTCGTTAAGTTAAAGTCTTAATACAATAGTACAAACTAGTTAAGCCTTTGTGACTACGCATTGCACACCAACCCTTACATTCTTTAACTTTTATTCTATAAGGAGCAATGTCTAATTATAAGGCAGCCACTCTGCAATTAGCACGCAAACTATTAGAAGCTAAGGACGTGTTAATGCTACTCTCTACGCTAATGCATAGTAGCTACACCTTACGCGCAGCATTTGCAAGCACCCTAACCCTATCCGTTAAGTTAGAAATAAGACTAGTATACGTGCTGCTTAACGACACCTTGCCGGCTAAAAAGCAGCTATAAAGCAATAAATACACTTGCATTATATAGACGCTAGAGGCATTAACTAACATTATAGCTGCAAAGGTTATAAGGCCACCGCCTAGTAGTTGCTACTATAATAACAAGCTACTATAATATAGTATTAAAAGGCTAGAAATTAGTGCCTTTGCTATAAAGACAAAAGAGTGGTTAGCGATAATAAAGGACGCCTATAACACTAATGTACGTAGTAACGCGTTAGAAGATATAAAGATTATTTAAGTAGGTAGTTAGCTAACTACTATACTAGCGGCTAATTAGCAAAAGCACTACAACTAACTCTACGCTAGTAAACCCTTAGTTATACGCCTTATATAGACGTACTTTACTGCGTTTATCTATTAAGAACACTTAAACTTTAAATTCTAGATATACTGCATTTATAAGGAAAGCTAGACGCTTTAGCAAGGCAGCGAGTTGCTAATAGCGTACTAGTAAAAATAAGACTACTTATAATAAAAGATTAATAACACCTTTAACTAAGTAGGCAAGATTGCCTAAAGGTATTAGTAAAGGCTTAACAACTACTTAGCAAAGTAGTATTAGAATAAAACTATTAGCAAGTCTTTTAGTATAGCAATAAAGATTACTAATGCTTATAAGAAGTATTAGTTTTAAGGCTAGGAATAAAAGACAAGATAAGATAACTAAAAGCGAGCGGTTATAGTTAATAGCGTGCTAGCTAGCAAGCTAATAAAGAAATAGCGCTATAATAATAATAAGATAAAGAACTACAGTTTTATAAAGAGCAACCTAAGCTTATAACCGGTTACTAGCTAAGGTTAGTCTACTTCTTAACCTACTAACCTTAGTAGTTTAAACAATATTAACGTTGCGTTAAAGTGCTAGAATTATAGTAAGAGTAGGCATACCTCTTAAGAGTGCTTTAAGCCTAAAACCTACGCATAGGTTAAGAAGCTTTAAGTAGAACTAGAAGATAGTCTTTAAGAGCTTAACAACTAAGAGGCAACCTACTTTAATTAGGAAAACTTATAAGGTTAATAAAGGAGCCTTATTTTTTATTAACCTTACTAGCATAGCTAACTAAGGATATAGTTCCTTACTACTATACCCTAGCTAAGGTATAAACGCTTAGCAATTACTAGGCTACTATTATTGCAAACTTAGATTCTTATACTAACTTAAATATAGTTAACTTAAAGGTTGTTTAATAGCTTAGTTTAAAGCTGCTTTAGTAGTACTTAAACTTAAACTTAGTCTTTGTTAATAGGAAAGTACTATAGGCTTACAGCCTATATAAGCTAACTATTATGCTAATAAAGGATAGGGTCTCTTACGCGTTAATATAGGTCTTTATAGCTATTTACTAAGTAGGCGCTAACCGTAGAGATATTATTCTAAGTTATAAGGGACTAGGGTTTCTAAGCGTTGTTATTAACACTGTTTAATAGGCCTAGTTATTTGCTATTATAGTTTTTAAGACCTTTAAGCAGATAAGCTAACGCTTATACAACGGTAAGGAGTTGTTTACTATTTGCTTAACGTAGTTAGATTTAAGTCCTTATAAACTAAACATCCTTACTATAGACAATAATTTAGCTTTACTAAACCCTAGCTAGCGACTACTATTTTATATATAACTGTTTGCTAAAGTGTTTAACACTAATAAGGCGAAGGAACTACCTTTATTAGCGGATGCAAAGCACTTAATTAAGCTAGAAGATAGCGTAAAGGTGCTGTATAGCCCTCTATACCTACTATCTTCTGCCTAGCAAGAAGAGCTTTACTACTTTATTAATAAGTTGTTAGCAAATAGGCGGATTGCTTATAGCAATAGTCTAGCTAGAGCCCTAGTAATTTTTGTCTTAAAGAAGGGCGGTACTTTACGTATATGCGTTAACTACTAGGGTTTAAATTAGGTAACTAAGAAGGACCGCTACCCTTTCTTATTAATTAGTAAGCTATTAAATTGCTTAGACAGTATAAAGGTGTTTTTTAAGGTAGATATAAAGGAAGCATACTATAGGATTTAGGTTAAGGCCTTTAATTAGTAGAAGACTACTTTCTAAACAAAATATAAGCTCTTTAAGTTTTATATTATGCCCTTTAAACTAACTAACGCGCTAGCTATGTTTTAAGTATATATTTACTATGCACTAGTAGGGCTAGTAGGCATAGTCTGCAAGGTATACTTAAATAATATGTTAATCTACTCTTAAACTAAGAAGGAGTATAAGAAGCACCTTTAGTTAGTTTTTAAGCAGCTAAAGGCTGCGTAGTTATATATAAATCTTAAGAAGTGCAAATTCTTTAAAGAGGAAATTAATTTCTTAAGGTTTGTTGTTACTATAAAGAGGCTAGCTATAAACTTTAAGCAGGTTAAAGCTATCGCTAAATAAAAGGCCTTTAAGTGCGTATAGAACGTATAATCCTTTTTAGGGTTTGCAAACTTCTATAGACGCTTTATTTCCTACTACTCTTATATTATACAAGCCTTAACAAAGTTAATAAAGATAGGCCCTAGCCTACTACGTAAGCGCAAAGCCGTTGCTACGCAACTATTTGTATTAACTAAAGAGGTAAAGGTTGCTTTTAAATTGCTAAAGGTAGTATTTATAATAGCAACAATTCTCTGCTACTATAATAATATAAAGCTTACGCAGGTAGAAACGAATGCGTTAGGCTACGCTATCTTTAGCATTATCTCTTAGCTTGCAGATAGCAAGTAGCGACTAGTTGCTTACTACTTACGCAAGCTAATAGCCTATAAGATACGGTAAAGAGTAAGATAGTAAGAGCTCTTAGCTATTATTAAAAGCTTAAAGCACTAGCGTTACTATTTAAAAGGTCTAAAGGACTTATTTATAGTCCTAACTAACTACTAGGCGCTAAAAGGCGTTATTAAAGCATTAGCAAAGAATCTTTAAAACTAAATTGCTTAATAAGTATTTTACCTTTTAGTGTTTAACTTTAAGATTAAGCACTGCCTAAGGTCTACTAACCTAGCATACAGTCTATCCTACTAACTAGACTATATAAAAGGTAACATTATATATAATAACATGCTCGTCTTGCTTCTTAGCGAGCTATAGATTGTAGACTAATTGTTAGGGCTCTTTATACTAAGAGTTTTATTATTATTAGTATAAGAGGCGTAGGTTGCTATTAGCTAAGAACGGCTGTTATAACCCTAGTGCTTTTTTAAACTATATAATACTATTTGTAACGCTTAAGGCTAAGACTAATTACTAAACAACCTGTTTGCAAAGGCTAGACAAAGCTAGGGGAATAACACTTATTATCTATAGGAAAGGAACACCTTATTTTATAAGAATTGCATTGTTATTCTATTAGCGGACAAGCTGCAGGTAAGGCTAATTAATCTACACTATAACTCTCTTATAGTAGGCTATATAAGAGTTTATAAGACTATAGAACTCTTTACTAGAAAGTACTACTAGCTAGACATAGCTACTAACGTTTACGTGTTTATTGCTAACTATTTATTATGCATAAGCAATAAAGTCTTATAGCATAAGCTGTATAAATACCTTTAGTCTTTACCTATGCTTATTTAGCTATTCTAGCACATTAGTATAGATTTTGTAACCGGTCTTAGGTTAAGCTTAGGCTTAGACGGCTATCTATACAACGCTATCTTAGTGGTAGTTAATTGCTATATAAAGCATAGTATATTTATTCTTACTTAAAAGACGGTTACGGCTGCTAAGGTTGCCTAACTTATCTATAACTATGTAAAGACTAAGTTTAGTATTCTAAAGGTAATCGTTAGTAATAAGGATAGCCTATTTACTAGCCAATTTTA